TAGCCTGGGCTGCCCTCTTCTCCCCTGTCATGTTATGTTATAGACCTGCCAGTGGGATGGTTCTGGATGCACCGAGCTCTAATGGGCCTTTCCAGCCTGTGGCCCTCATGCATTTTAGAGGTGAGAATAGGAACTCTGCTTCCTCTGCTCTTCTGTGTTTGTGTGTTTCAAGGGGAAATGGGCAAGAATGTTGTTGCTATTTAGCAACTGCAGCTGCTACTTTTGAATTTTGCAGAAGAAAATATTTGTGTCAGATGACTTTTGTTGACTAAAAGTTGCTACGAGAGACTGAGAGCATTTATCATCTTAGTGTTGGTGGAGTATTTTTGGAGGAGGAAGCAGGGGATTGTTTGTATGTCAACGAGGAAGGGTTTTGCCAAGACATTGCATAGCTTAGCTTGAGTCAGGGAGGGAGGGCGAGAGAGTGAAGGAGTGCTAGTTTTGAGTCTCCCATCCCCCATCAAGACTGCTGATGTCATAGGAAGTGAGGTCAAAGCTTGTTGTTAGTGTGTGAATCTGTATTGTATTGTATACAGGTATGTGGTGTCAGCTGACACACGTGCAAGTTGAAATGCTGTGTTTGTTTTTGCTGAACCTCCTGTAGGCTTCTGAGTTACTGCCTAACCAGACAAGCTTGAATCTGGGTCCTTCAACAAGCGTTGAGCAGGGACAGAAACTGACTCTATGAATGCTGAGAGTATCTCATATTAAGTGTTTTAGTGTAACAACTTTAAGCCTAATGGTTGTTCATATATTACTTTCTTTGCAAACAACCTTGTTCACTACCACAACAGATGTTGTGCCGTGCACATTCAACATGCGGCCCATTATTGCACAAACATGCTACTATCAGTGAGATGTTGGACTTGTGTTGTGACTTGCAAGGGTGTTAACATGGCCTCATGAGTTTAAAAGAATAGGTGTACACAGCCACCTGTCCTTATTTACATTGGTTAGCCTATGTCTGCACTGACACAGAATATGTACAAAGTATTTGCCACTGGTTACCAGTTCATTTACCAGTTCATTATACATTCACCAGCTGATATTGTGGGATGGGAAATCTGTACTAGGGAGCAATTTGTGTCCATGAGCGGTTTCCTGTGTGCACGCCGGAGCCTTTAGATGAGTAAAGGTTATTTGCCCATCCATGCAGAGAGGCCTGTGTGTGAAGTCGACAGTTGCACAGCATGTCTCTTAATATTTTAGGCCTGTTCAGAAACCCTAGTGCTGTTGTGTAACAGGAGCTGGTAGACCTCTTGGCACTCAAAGGGTGATGAGATGCCGTGCTCATTGGTGGACCCATGTTAAAGCTTGTTATTAACAGGAATGGATCTTCAAGGTACTGATAAATTCAACCTAAAATCACTTGTTATACCTTGAATATGAACAGATGATCTCCATTTAACCTAATAAGCTTAAAGACTTTTAGCTACATTTAGCTGATTGATTTTTGTTTGTTTTGTTCTTGTTAATTTAGATAAATATGAGGAGATTTCTTTGCACTTTTACATTAATGCCATTGCTTTTCTTGTTAAATGTAAAAAAAGAAAAAGGGTTGAATACATGTTAGTATTGTATCTGCCAGAGAGGGAGCAGGGAAATAGTACAGTAACGGACACAGAAAGTGGCAGCAACAAGTTGTCCCCAAAAGAGTTGCATTGCTCAGTGGCAGCAGCTTCACAGTTTTAAAATGCAGTTTGTTGGAAGACAGTGTAAAATAATATAGTCAGCTGTGCCTTGCATAAACACAGTGTTGAAACAAAACAGATCCCCATTAGGGTTCTCCACGGATGTGGTAGCCGTAGCTCAGGGGTGAAGCAAATTGCCAGCTGTTTGACCTTTGATGCGGTCGATTAGATCCCTGTTGTGGCCAGTTGTTAGGACAGAGGGGATGAAGTATGATGTTACTTCAAAGCTACTTACTGACTTGTCACTATTCTACACTCTGTCTGAATATAGACAGTATTCATTCACAGTATTGACTCCATGTTCCAAGGTACTGTACTGCACAAGAAAGCCGTAAAGGCAGATATACACCAGAAGGGCAAGTCGTACAATGCCTCGTCTACCACCACAGGAAATTCAAGTGGCAAATATGTTTTTACGAGCGCTCTGTTACGGGAGAAATACTACGCAGAAGAATTTTTGGGTCAAGAAAACAGTAGTATAATTGTTAATTGAAAAGAAAAATATGCCACTTACTGGTAGCACACAGGTAGCTGCATTTTGTGTTGTTGCGTGTCGAATACCAGCTGTGACTCAGGAAAGTGGAGGTGTAGGGAAAGTCCGTCTGTTGGTGCTACGCAGTCCCAGGTTCAGGTTCTTGCCTGTGTGGGAGTATGCACAACATACAGTGCGGAATTTGTTACTTTGCGACTTATTTCACCAGTTTCGACTGATATGCACTATCCAATGTTTGTACCAGTTTCCCCACGCTGTAGAGGCAAAAAGAAAATACTGCAAATGAATAAGTACAGATCACACTTTCGATCAAAGATAAGTGTGCATGCCACTTTCAAGTTTTGGAATATATCTTCTAGTGGACATAATGGCTGGAACTATGATTTTAAAAGGCAGCTTTATGTGTTAATAAAATGGAGGTTAAACAAATGATGGACACAAAGTGTTACTTCAAAAGATGTCAGCAAGACTAAGGCCATTTTAGATTTTATATAGAGATTTCTGTATGCGTCAATTATTTATCTGTTATGAGACAGTGCCTATACGATAATTGCTTTGTAGATTCATAGAATTGGTATGGACTTTTTTATTATTATTATTATTTATTTATTATTATTGCTGGGTTGTTGGTGTTTGCTAAATTACCTAAATACACCACCTTCCTCTTTTAATAAACATAAACTGCAAAATGTTCTTCGTAATAAGTAATTTGACTCATGTCATTCACAAGCTCACAGCTATCTTAATCTGCCATACATACACATGTTGGGGCTGTTTCTGATATAGTTAACCTGATTGTGTTTGTGTGAGGTTGAATAATAAGACTTAAGCTTAACTGCCTTTTTTTTATTAGAGCAATTTCTCCTAGCTTTATGTGCTATTGTGGTTTGATTTTAGGATGTGTTTTGTAGGCGCATCATGCTGTCCTTTGGGAATATGTTGGCACCATGATGAAGCTGTGTTTTATGCTCTACCTGTTGCATACCTAACCAAATTGCCACTAGGTTTAAATCCTTTTTGCTTAGTTTATGTGAACACAGTCACACAAAATGGTTTCTTAAGCACAGCGCCTCTTCATTTCTATCTTTTTTATCGCATTTTTAAGAAAGTGTTGAGTGATTGGTGTTTTTACAAGGTCGGTTTGGCTGACACGTCTCTTGGCTCCGCAGCTGATGGCCACAGAAAATCAGCAGCATATGATTCCAGTGTAACAACAGCAGCAGAAGCAGCCTGTATGCATCTTTGATTAGCAGCGGTCACCCCCTGGTCCAAAGTCCTATCTCTGCCTGTGGTCACCATGGTGACATGCGGTACACATTCAGATTGTTAATAGGGAGACGAGACTGACTCATAAATCACAGGCTGTGACGAATGAATTAACTCTGGCCTATAGGTAGGTTTCATAAGGTGACATTTCGTTTTAAGTCACTAATCCCCATTTTGGATGAAAATAATTGAGCGCCATCACACTTCTTTTTGGTTCCAGGGTACCATTTGTAGGAGTCTGATAAGTGTGATGAGTGATAAGCAGCTTGTCATGTTATTTTTTGCTGTTACTGACATTCAGTGTCAATTTGAAAGTAACATAGTTATTCCCCTGAAAGCTGCATGTCCCATTTCACCTGTAGTTTTATTACTCTTTCACTTATTTCACTTGCTTATAAAGCATGACATGGCCTTAAGCACAATATCTGTCTGAAACATTTTTGTTGTACAAGTTGGGTAAGCCCTTCAGGCCCTTTGGGTGCAGACTTGTAACAGTTCCAAAGTAGAGAACTCTTTGTTTATTTGTGTTGCTGGAAGTCTTAATATATTTTAATGAAACTTTTTTTGCCGCAGCAATTGAATAGTTATTATATTCTATAACAATGTTTATTTGATTCCTTGATTAATTTAATTTTAATTTGTTTAGTAATTGTTGTGGATGATTTGTGCTAATCATGGATTCGTCTGAGGCAGCTGTTGTATGCTGATAACACATGCTTGCTGGCACAGAATGGTGGTTGGCTCATTGACAGTGTGCAGTAGCTACAAAAACGTGTGATGATTCTTAAATAGCAAGTTAATGATTATACAAACACAGGTGTGGCTCAGTGGTCCTGGAGGCAGATTTAGAGCCTCTGCATCATTGATGTAGCGGTGACACTGTCTTTGAAAGGGTAAATTATTGATTTATGAAGTCTTTAAATGAAGTCTCCGCATGTCACCACATGAACTCCACAGAAGCAAATTACAGTCGTAGTGAACCGGAATAACATTAAAGCTTTGGTACAAATTTACATCGACTGCGAGGGAAGGGGCGGGGTGAGACAAAAAATTACGTTTGGCACTGATTACCATGACAACAGACAAAGCTTTTGAAACATACAAGTCATTGCCTTAACATCTTTTTGCAGTGTTTATAAAAGACTGTGTCAGGTTATTTACCATCCAGCTACTTTTTGGCCATTTCTCTGTCACCCATTCTGTCATGCCTGTGCTGTTACCTATATCTGTATCATTTAGTCTAGTTTCAAATTACTTTAGCCAAGCATTGGCTTGTATTGCAGTTTCACACTTTTATCCATGGTGATGATAGTAGGATAAAACGTGGTAGTTGATCAATCAGTGACTGTTTCTCAAACTAAACAGATATATTAAGATATTAGTCTGTGACAGCTCTGACACTGAGAGACAGTTTCTCAGACACTCTTACCATCTTGGATGTAGGATATCTCTTTGAAAGAGAATTTGTTCGTGTTCTATGTTAAAGAAAGGTCTTCACACACAATGGCAGACCTGTTGATTCCAACCTTCCTTCCATGTCTGTCTTGCAGATGTTCCCCCTGCAGAGCAGGAGAAGCTGTTCATCCAGAAGTTGCGGCAGTGCTGCGTCCTCTTCGATTTTGTTTCAGACCCACTGAGTGATCTGAAATGGAAGGAGGTGAAACGGGCGGCGCTAAGCGAGATGGTGGAGTACATCACCCACAACAGGAACGTCATCACAGAACCAATCTACCCAGAGGTGGTTCACATGGTCAGTATTTTAAACAGACTGAACTACTGACTTGGATTGTGTCATTGACATTCGCATCAAGCAAAGTCATTAATATTATTATCATACCTTCGTTAACTGAAAATGTAATAATTCTCCAATATTTTGAGCACTGAGCTAGTTAGTTACTTCAGAACTGTATATGATCCAACTCCAAGGAAGACCAAAATTCCCTGTATACCATGCAATGTGTGTGTTGCAGGCCTTAACCTAGCTAGTGATTTTCTCTGCAGCTAGAGTAAGCCGATTTTATATAATAAGCCTGTGTTATTAAGCTCCATAAAATAAATCATGTCTTTCTTCTCTTTGTGGCTCAGATCAGTGTAGCAGCATTACAGTAGGTTGTTTAGGTTTAAGAAAGTTCACTTATATTAATTCCTCATTGTCTGTTATGGCATTCTTGTGAATAAGGCACTGCTGTATATCACTCAATGCGTGTGACCATGAAGAGCCTTCTGACTCAGTAGAATCAACTGAATTGCTTTCATATTCTATTAACTTCTGTATAAAAGATCTGTCTAGATCTTTCTTTTTTACTGGGCGCCATGGAGAGAGAATCTATTTTGGTTTCTACTGCCAGCAATACTTAGTTGCCCATTTAGTCATTTTTTTAGCTTCTCACTGACTCATAGGAAACTCACATGAGCATCACTGACCTCAGTTTGAACCCAAGGATTTGTGTCGCATAAACCTAACTTAATATTTATCTTTATAATCATTGGTTAGCCATTAAGTCAGCCATTTATTTTCTTTCCCCCAAGTGGTCACTTAGTGGCGTTTGTCTAAAGATGGCCAAGAAAGTTAACCCATATGAGTTCACTAAACCTAAATAGCCTCTTCAGGTCTGAACGTGTTTATTCAGTTGGACTGTAGATAGTGTGGTTGTTATTGAGCTCCTACTGTATATTTATTAGAAATGTGTTCCTCTGAGGTCGTGGCCTGGATGTTTTCATGGTGCCAGCTTTGCTTTCCCAAGCCAAATTAAAAAGCCTTTGATGTTAATCAAAGCCCTGCCTCAATGCCACATGGTAAACTGCAGATGATCAAGGTGCAAATTTACCCCCATCCTCCTTGTCGTGGCTTTATTTGATCAATGTTGCAGAAAATGCAACAGAGCTGCCAAATCAGCATGAAAATATACTCTTATTCCTTGCAGCCCCTTTCCCCTGCCCCCTTAAAGACAAAGACTCTTTGAAGCTTACTGATGGCTTTCATCATCAAAGTATGGAGATTGACATGACAAACTCATTTGTAGCCATAAAGAGTGTATTCTTATGTTAAGGCTGTACGTATTATTTTCTCCCACAAGCGCTTGTTCCTACAGGGCATGTTTGATGCCTCGGTGTGCAAGCTTTAGAACAATATTTTGGCAGACCTTTGGCTGACACGACAGTGGTTGTTCCATTAGTCCCATTCTCTGGGGGAGAAGTAAGAAATGGTTTCTGCTAAGAATATAAACATGATGGGGAGTGAGTGTGTTTTGACCTTTGGTCGACTGCACTCTGGAGGGAGTGTCTAAGAGTGCTGTCTGGAAAGTGAGAATGGACAGAGAGAGAAAAGGTGGATGCTTTCCAATTTGGGGGATATTATTGTCAGTGAAACAGGCTGCTATCTCAGACAAGCACACAAGAAAATATTTACATACAAAATTTCATTCATTCTTTTTCATAAAGAAGATACAACATTTTCTCATTTAACATTTTGAAGGCCAATTAGATGGATTAACAGAATGTAAACTTAATTTGACAAACTTGTCTCTTGGAACAGTTTTGGGCTGTGCAGTAATGGAAATATTTTTTTGTGTTGAGTTGTGTGAAGTTAAGCTAACTTGTTTTCTCGAAAGCAAAACTAAAACATGAAGAGAAACCAGTTTGCAGAGGCTACATAACATTATACCAGTGTTTGTTTTAACATGTATTTGTATTGTGATCTATGCAGTGCAATAGCTAACATACCTCACTGTTTTAGTTCATGTTTGCATGGCAAAGCTGTTGAGAGGCTTGTTTTCCTTATAGTACTTAGCAGTCACCTCCCCTAAGAACCCATTGATTATTTGTTGTTTATGGAATAAGTAACTGATTGTAAACAGCCTTGTTTGCTTGTTAAACACCGTGGCCTCATCAGCTTCATTATTTCAGCTGTCAAAAATGTTTAAGAAGCAAGAAACTTTCAATCATTGTTTGTCAGGTGTCAGGTAGAGTAGACAAACCTAGCAACCACAGCTAATGTTCTCCAGAGTTTGGGAATAACAAGCAGTTATTTTTTCACCCTTGTTAAATAAACTCATCTAATCTGATTTCTGTGTTGGTAGTTGAAACATGGTATTGTGAATCCGCTGTGTTGACTGAGTGATGGTGAATTTTCAGTGGATTGTTGAGCTGACCTGTGTTACTGTTTTTTTTTTTTTCCCCTCCAGTTTTCTGTGAATATGTTTAGGACGTTACCGCCATCATCCAACCCCACGGGTGCCGAGTTTGACCCGGAGGAAGATGAGCCTACGCTAGAGGCAGCGTGGCCACATCTACAGGTACACAGCATTCACACACATACACAGACACACTCAGACAAACTCTTGTTTATTCACTGTAAACTGATGAGAGTAATTACTTTCGAGTGTTTTTGCTCTGCTTTCCACAGCTCGTCTATGAGTTCTTCCTACGGTTTTTAGAGTCTCCTGACTTTCAACCAAACATAGCCAAAAAGTATATTGACCAGAAGTTTGTAATGCAGGTGAGCACATTATGATACAATTTGTGTGCATGGTTATAAATGTTTGAGTTAGGGAATTGTATGCACGATGCTTGTAGTTATTTCTTGTTAGATAGATCTTCTTTTATTTTGGTGCTCAGTTGAATTTGCTATCAGAGCCTCACAGTGTGACCTTTTTTGTGCACAGCTCTTAGATCTGTTTGACAGTGAAGACCCCAGGGAAAGAGATTTTTTAAAGACCACTCTTCATCGCATCTATGGCAAGTTCCTGGGCCTGCGAGCGTACATTAGGAAACAGATTAATAACATATTTTATAGGTGAGTGAGTAGATGAGTCAGGTGCATTAGTGACACTTGTTCTTGTGCATTATTATATTGTGTTGGTGGCTAATGGAGTGTATTTTCTTAAATGTACCACTGTGATGTATTACATGATGTAACCATGTTGCTATTTTTCAGGTTCATTTATGAGACTGAACATCATAATGGAATAGCAGAATTACTGGAAATATTAGGCAGGTAAGATATTTTTGAGAGGTGCACCAATAAAACCTTTTCTGATGTTGATGGTTCAGGGAGTAGTTTTTTTTTGTTGTTTAATTTCCAATAAATGTTTTCCGTAGCAAAATGATTAAATAGCCACATTGTCTTATTTCTCTTTCTCATATTTCTGTTTCTAGACTCGTTTCTGTACTCTTTTAAGTACAATGCAAGCTTATTTTTCTAATGATTGTCTTCCTTTTTCCAGCATAATCAATGGATTCGCATTACCATTGAAAGAAGAGCACAAGATATTCCTGCTTAAAGTTCTGCTGCCATTACACAAAGTCAAGTCTCTTAGTGTATATCACCCACAGGTAACCACTTTGCCAGGCTCAAACATTGTGTTATACAATTTCTCTGTGTTTACAATAATACAGTTTGTTAGAAGGGTTAATATTATCTTGTCTTTCTTCATTAGCTGGCCTACTGTGTGGTACAGTTCTTAGAGAAGGATAGCACCCTCACAGAACCGGTAAAATATGATTTATTAACTTTGTTATGTTGTTCATATTGTTGATTGAATTATCCTTCAACGTCCTGTCTATTCGAGATTAGTTCATGGCTGTATAAACCCAAGGATTTCACTGCCAAAGTCTAGTTTTTGATCCTTACTCTCAATGTGATTTGTCAGGTATTCATGTAAAGTATAAGTATAGACTTTTATTATGTTTTCAGGATTGCATGGTTGTATTATTTTAAAGTCAAGAGCAGAAGAAATTAATAATTCATTTATTTAATCTGTCTAAATATATGTATTTCAAACTTTTTTTAAATGCTAGTACCTGTAGTACTTCAACAACTTATTAGATGGACAGATCAGCTGTCCATATGTTCTTCCCCCTCTCCTTCAACTTTTTCTTCTTCATTAAGCCGGTTGTCCTTTTGTGTGCAGACAGTGATGGCTTTGTTAAAGTATTGGCCAAAAACCCACAGTCCAAAAGAGGTGATGTTCCTCAATGAGCTGGAGGAGATCCTGGATGTCATTGAGCCTTCGGAGTTTGTCAAAGTCATGGAGCCCCTCTTCAGACAGTTGGCCAAGTGTGTGTCCAGCCCACACTTTCAGGTCTGACATTCATCCCAGCGCACATATAACGTGATTTATTTTTCTCCATCAAAAGTCGTCTGTTTACATATGTAACCCTGTTATAAACGTATGTGTTGTTAGGTGGCAGAACGAGCTCTGTACTACTGGAACAATGAGTACATCATGAGTTTGATCAGTGACAACGCCGCCAAGATCCTGCCCATCATGTTCCCATCCCTCTACCGCAACTCCAAGACCCACTGGAACAAGTGAGTCGCCACGCTGGCTTTCCCTCAGCTCTATCTCTGTGCTCCTCTACTAAGTGCATAAATCAATTGACCCGTGGTAATGTTTGTCTGTCTGCAGGACGATCCACGGGTTGATCTACAATGCTCTGAAACTCTTCATGGAGATGAACCAGAAACTGTTTGATGATTGCACCCAACAGTTCAGGGCAGAGAAAAGCAAGTAAGTCACAAGCCAGTCAAGACATCACACCAGTTTCCAGTGCAGCTACAGCTCTCTTGGTCCTATTACACGGTTAAAAACATCATTAGAAAATGAATAAAAGTGACTAAGTAGGTAAATAAGCCAGAGAAGTAAACTGAACTCCTGAGTTGAACGTAACAGGTAAGTGTATCTTTGAGTTAATATTTTCTTTTGATGCAGTCTCTAATGATTGTGCCTGTTTTGTTTGGTGTCTCAGAGAGAAAGCCAAATGGAAAGAGAGAGAAGAAGCATGGCTGAAGATTGAGAATCTTGCAAAGTCAAACCCACAGGTGAGCAAAGAGATTTTAATGGAGTGATACATTAATACTGCAGACATGCTACTGACGATTGCCTCAGTAACTATAATTTTGTACGATGCTTTCTGTGATTAGAATAAACACCCAGTATGGCACAAGTGCTTCAGTACAAATATAGCAAAAAAGAGAAGAAGCTGAGTTGTTGAAGCAGGTAGACGCTCAATATATATTCATGGTGGCACTAGAGAAAAGGTCCAAAATGAGTCAAAATGAATTTGCAATCTAGAAATGGCTTCAAGTTGATCGAAGATTAAAAGTCAAAACCAGGAATAGATGAGCAAAAACCAGAAAAGTGAGTCAGTGGTTATTTTTAACCATCCCTCCTCTTCTCTTCTTCCTGTACAGTTTCTGATGTACATTGACTCGGTAGGCTCAGACAGTCCCATGGACATGGAGACAGATGGACCACTGCTAGATGATGTCAACATGCTAAAGAAAACAGTAGTGGAGGAAGCCACACAGGTCAGGAGTGTGTGTATATATGTATGTATATATATGTATATATATATATAAATACATATATATACATATATGTGTGTGCGTAGCGTAGTGTAGCAGTTAATATTGGTGTGTTTTTGAGCGAGGCAGGCGCTGTGGCAGGGCTTTGTGGCTGACAGCCAAATACACTGCAAAAAGACTCCATGTACAATGTGGTTGCTTTGTGTACTAAGGCTACAGTTTAATAGACTGGTTGAAAGGTTGATTTTGTTAGTTTGGAGAAACACAGCCATGCTTTTATCTTTATATATTACTGCTTTAGATAACACCCATCAGCAGGCTTTTTTCAATAAATTCTCATTGGATATGTAAAGCTTACCTTTCATAAACAATGGAAGACTGGGAGCTGCCCCATGCTTTTTGAGCTAATGTACAACCAAGGTACTTTAGATACATTATGTTGTACCACTCTGCCATTAATCCAAATAACACAAGTGTCCACTATCACTTTATTCCTGTTTGCATTTTTTGTCTCTGTCTGAAGTTGTCACTTACAGATGTTTTATTGAGTTCTTAAGTCAAACATTGCTTATTGCCTTTTTATATCTTAATATTTTGGTACTGTATAAAGTGTTTATGCTCAAATGGAGGCTTGAAAGCTTTTAGCTGTAACAGTGTGATTGGACATAAAGTTAAATACATTTTCTAACCAGCCACAGCTAAAACATTTGAGGCCATTTCAGGTAGTGTTACACACTAGGAAGAAAACCTGTCTCGTTCACTCTATCCCGTAAATAATGTCTTCTTTCAAGATCATTATTCAAAGCAGGCATGGGTCACGTGATTCCCAAAGTATTATCCCAGCTGTCTTCCGACTTCCAAGTGGAACAGGGGACAAACTGGGAGAGTCGGCACTTATCCTGTCATGCCGTGCAATTATTTATGTACAGCCATAGTGAGACATTTGGCAATGTTACTGAACTCTCTGTCTCACTGTCTCCATGTGTCCAGATCCAAAAAGATCAGCGTAGAGAGCGCCCACTGATGCGGAGGAAATCAGAACTCCCCAAGGACATCTGCACAGTCACAGCCTTGGAGCTGCACCGGAGAGCCGAGGAAATGCTGACGACGCACGACGGCCACTAAGAGACCACCCCGGACCCACCGTAAACCAGCAGCATCCACAGAGGAACCACAGGCCCACAGAGGCCAGCACAGCAACAAATCTCTGGTATCTCAGTCCAGCCCAGCACAACACAGAACTGAACAGTCCCAACTCCTGACACAGAAAATGTAACGTGCCCTGAACTTCACCCAAGATACTGTAGTGTCGTTATGTCTTTTTCCTCCCTCGCTTTTCTCTTTTGCTGTCCTCGCAAGTCGTGTTTTTTCGGGGTGCTTTGCTGCCCCCTTCTGGTCATTTCTCTCAGGTGTTCTGTTCTGTGTGTGCGTGCGTGTGTGTGTGTGCGTGTGTGTGAGAGCTGTGAGAGCTGTCTTCTCTTCTTGCCTCTTCTTTATAGATGTCAGGTGCTTGTACAAATATGAGGCCCCTCCCAACTGTAATTTCCACAGAGGACTACTCCGGTTTCATTTTGAGTTGATGAGAAAATGTCAGTTGTTTCTATATATTTAATATTAGCTATTTTTTTCTCATAACATTTAAAAAAGACAGCTGTTTATATTTTTTCCTACATATTATATTAGGAGCTCCTCTCAAAGTCAGACACGCTTCCTATCCGTATAACCGTTCTGTTTGGAGCTTGCTATTTTTTCTCAGCTCATTTTCCATTCGCTGTGAAGATCCATTGATCTTTCTGCTAATCAGGACAGGGTCATCTAGGTCTCCCAGTAGAGTGTGTCTCTATTAAAAGCATTACATCACAGTTCTGTTAGTCAAACAGTGCTGGCCTGACAGACGTCAACCAGGTTCCAGGTTTTCCACCTAACAGTTCTTTGTTTCTGTGTAGAAGCCTAGTTTGGTGCCAACTTCTCTCATTAATTTAGTTTTACTAATTAGAAATTTGTAGGCAATAAGTTAACACGGGTTGCATTGTGTGTCGGCAGCTCAAACAATGGTCAGATAGTTTTGTTATTACATGTTTAGAGTCCAGCCCGGCTTGCTGCGCTGGTTATATGAGAGGGGGATTGTGGGATTTATTTTTGGTTGCCCCGTTCAGATCCAGCCAATGTAGGAGTGTGTTTAACATGGTCATTAGCATTCAGTACAAGTCGCTGTCATTCATGTGAGACTTATGAGAGGTCAGAGAGATGTTGTTGCTCGCCTGGGATTTACACAATGTTGCTGCGGGTTGAGAGAAGTCGAACAGGGGGCAGAAACTGTGCTGATAGTGATCGCTTTTTCTACTCTTCTCAAGCAAGACCCTTTTATTTATAAAACACTCGTTCGAGATTAGACTGCTTCACAGATGAGGTATGTTTGGTTTGAAGAGGTCAAACATAAGCCTTTCTTTTCACAGTGCCTTTTATAGTCTAAGGGGATATTTGCTCAACTGAGAATCGAGTAGTAGCATGAACTAAAACGCCAGGTCAGTTTAACAAAATGAAATAAAATGTAACATTGGTTTCCAAAAACAGATGCGTTCAAGTCCATACTTGTCACACTTCCAGCCGCTTGGACTCCTGCGCATGCCTTGTTGAAGCTACAAAGTCTTTTGTAGTTCTAAGCTATAGAGGAGAAACAGAGTGGTCGCCCCCAAACCACTTCAGCGATGAAGCACTTCCTGATAAAACTTGAAAGAAAAAAGAAACACAACTGAAAAAAAAAAAACAACAACTAGTAAAGAATTGAAATCCGTGATGCTGTCTGTCTTGGTGTGTGGGGATCACCTCCCCTGGGTGCCTGTCGATGAGAGCACAGGAGAGGAAATCACCTCCCATCGTGACTTTTCCATTCTGTGCCCCCACTGTCCCATTCTAGTTAGGATTTGTACCATTGTTTGACCCCTTCTGCCCAAACATGCACACTGGCTGTAACCCTCCGCCCTTTCAGTGAAAAGCTACTACCCTGTAGGGCTTGTTATTTGGACATCTGTTTGATCTGCTTCTGGATGCTTGCAAGTTCTTTTTGTTTGTGGTTTTTACTCTTCCTTTGCCTGCAGAACCTCCTTGTCAGTGTTTCTACTGAATGTGCAAATTGTAAATAATACTGCAGTAACGTTGTTTGGTTCTCTCCATGTTTGTCTTGAAGAGCAACATTCACCAAAGGCTTTCACAAAAAGAAAACAACCTCATCCCCTTCTTACCCCGGGTAATGCAGTGAATTTGATGAAAGGAATGTGATTCCATCCCTTCAGTTTCTTGCATCCTCTGACTGTTGGCCGTCATGCAGGAGTTCCCCATTGGTGACTGTTGTTCTTCTTGAAATGGCTTTAATATTGGCTTCTTTGGAGCTCTCTTCATTTTAGATAAGCTTTGTTTTCTTTTTCTTTAAAAAGAATGAAGTGTCCTTTAGTATATATCTCATACTAAATGGCTTCATCTAATATTGTACATATAATGTACTTTTATTTTATGTTATAACTATTATTAAATGGTAGATTTCATATTTTGTAGAAAATACCCAATGTACAGAATGCAGAGGTTATTAGCAACTGCTGACAGTTGGTATGTGGCACAGACTTCAACACATGTGACTATTTACATTTAGAAACCGTATAGAATTTGGATAGTTTTTTATCTATTTGTAATCCAACATCTTCTCCGTTTTTTGTTTTTCATCTCCAGACATGTGTTGAGATTCTACATACATGAGCTTTTTGTGTGTGCTTTTATCCAAATCTCCAGTGGTGTACATCTATCTATATACAGCAAATAAAGAGAACATGTGAGTTTTATATTTTCATCCTAAAAAAAACAATCCTGTTCTGCGAGTCGTCATTGGTTATATTGAAGCTGAGTGAACACCAGCCCAGAATAATAGGCTTGTTAGAGGGTTTTCAATACAACCACGTCTTTCTGGGTAGGTGATGCATTGCAGCTTTTCCTTTTCTTTGTTGTCATGTTAACATGAACGTCAGTTTCTACATCAGGGGAGAGGAAAGAGGTGGTGTAGAGAAGGAGATCATTTGGCACTTACATTAGACTCTGTGAAAAAGCCTCAGTAGTGTTTCTAATGAGTGAAGATGTCTTGGTGTTCTCTCTCTCCACCTTTGAAGCTGCTGATGGTAACCAACCAACACTCCACACAAGCTGCCATGCAGATAGACGAAGCTCTGCCAGTGATTTCATGCAGGTGCATCCTGTGTGGATCACTGCGAGGCTTCAAGCAGAATGTCAAATATTCAGGTAAACTTTGAACAAAACCATACACAGGTTATGAATATCAATTTATTTTTGTGTTTTATTTATTTATATTTCTGTATATAAAAAATAAATAGTCAGAAGTCCCTTTTGAGAAAAGTCCAATTAACAGCAAGTCAAGTCTGTGTTGTTGAAAACCAGTTCAAGTCCTAACACATTAGTCTGTTTGAATTTAACACTGAATTCAAATAAATCAAACTTTAATTTTGGAGTTTGCAAGTTCAGTTCCAACCTACCAACCTTTTATCAAAGAAGTAACAGCAGAAAAAAACAAGATAATATAACAAGTAAACATAAATATAAAAACGGATGTGCACATATTTTACATTGCATATGCAAGTCATGCACTAAATTTAAATATGAACACCATGCGTCTGTTAATAAGTAATGTAGCGGAATGATTATACAGAAAATGAAGGGAATACAGAAAGGACAGTTTATTAATTTACCTTCAGTCCTTTAAACTTTACGTATAAGCATTTAAAAAAAAAATGTATTGCCTTTATTTGATAGCACAGCTGAAGATAGACAGGAAAGGGGGGCAGAGAGAGAGAGAGGGGATGACACACAGCAAAGGGCCGCAGGTCAGATTCAAACCCTGGGCCGCTGCAGCAAGGACTCAGTCTCGGCTCATGGGTCGCCAGCTCTACCCACTGAGCTAACCAGATGCCCGATATACAGCATTTTTGAGTCAACCATGGAAGCTAACACTCGTTACTCATTAGCAATTAAACAACATAAAAAGCTGAACAAAAAGAACCAAATCATCTAAACCTAAAAATACATGACTTCTGATCCCTGTGGATTTGACAAATTTAAATCTAAATGAAATCCTCTGCTGCCACCTGCTGGATAAAACTGGTAGACATTCAAACCCCTTGAAAGCCAGATGATTCATTTCTAGAGGTTTCTCTTAATCAGGGACATTTTTGATCACTACGGTGTTGAGTTACATCATTACTGTTTACTACTATACTAATGTAACCCAATGTGTAAATCCAGTGTTTATACATGTCTGTACAGTCATAAGAGACCACCATTTCTACTTCACAATGGGAACTTTTTAATGAAGGTTTCATGAAGCTTACTTAAAATCACTAAAACAAATTCATATAGTCTGACAGAAAGACATACAGATCAATAATTATTTCATTAAAGATCATTTTCAGAAATTGAATCTCATTTGCCATTATGTTATTTAAATGTTCCCATGAATTATTTAACATTACACAAACAGTCAGTATTTCTTTTACCATATAATTCTATTATAAGAATAAGACTCATTGCATTTACATTACATTTACATTATTGAACATATTACTATTGTGTTGTCTTATGTGTCTGCTTTTATTTGAAATCAGTTGTTTTATCATGCCGCAGTATTTAATTAGGACACATAATCGCTTAATTCAAACATTACTGACTAAGCTGGCATTGATATTCTGGTTTAATTCATAAACTAGTCATATTTTCATACAGTATAATTTGAAGGACACAGCTTGCTGTTCTTTCAGAGATGTTGCTAGGTGCTGCCATCAGCCATTCACAGTTGCCCTAACACTGGCTGGTCTGAGGTCACTCAAAGTTCCTGTATTCATTTGAAGACAACAGCGAGGTTTGGCACCCGCCCACCCTCTTGTGTCTAGCACCCCTGCTGGGATCTGCGCTGAACCAAACTGAACCTGCAGGGATTTAGCAAACAAATACACTTGCACATTTTTCGCCTCTAAAACACAAATGTTGGGCTATGATGGTGATGATGACACAGTGAAAAAGACATTGCAATCATGTCTGTTTGGACTTATTGTTTGATTACTGCATGTTTCATTTGATGGATTCACCCTCGGCGCATTCCTCAGATCCCATTTCTCAGGGTCAATGACAAATGTATGTATTTACAAAATATTGCACTAAATATTGTAGCATAATAGCCTTTGTCTCTCTATGACTGCCCTAATGAGGATGCAAATTGTTTCACACAAAAAAAACAATTTGCCTCATTATCAACACACTGTATCCCAATTATCTAAGAGGAAATATTCCTCTGGGCTGGATGCGCAATTGAAAATCAAAATACGTCAGTGGTTTTTGTGCGTAGTTAAAAGACTCTCTGTGCTCTCAGACGAGGTCACTTGGGTTCATTGTTTTTGCCCGCAGTCGGACTGCTGTACTGTCGTTCTCGAGTGACATATGGCATGTTGTTGTTTTGGTTTCCGATTAGGATGTTCTGTCAGTCTTCTTTCACTGTCAGTGTTCAAATCTTGCTGTGCGCCCCCCACACCACCCCCCCAACCCACCCCCTGTCACGACAGGAGATGTCAGAACCTATTGCCATGGAAACAGTGCTCAAATGTTTGGAGTGTCGACCCCCATTGTGACTGCATCCAATCATATTTTAGGAAACGCTTTCAGCGCTGCATTACTATACTCTGAAGTGCGGTGTGGGTACATCTGTGTGGACCTGATTCTGGGTCTGGGTCTGTGTGTGTGTGTGTTTGCGTGGTGATGTTTGTGAGGACTGGGAGCCAGAAAGTGACTCATCACGCCACACTCGGGGGTCTAAAATCTGACTTAGCATCATCTCTTTCCTCTCACACTGAAGCTCTGTAGCACCTGAAGTCGTCTTGAGCAAAGTCAGAAGGTGCGCCTTGCACTTCACCCCCCCCTCCGAGGACGGAGGCTCGGGGTGCAGCCCAGTCCCAGTTTTCTTTGATGGTTGACACTTGGCTTCAAAGTCCTCTGCATCAAAGCCAGGGACTTGGGATCAGGCCCAGCAGCGGCCCAGCATCCTGCCTTAGACACACAAGAGAGAGAGGGAGAGAGAGAGACAGGATAGAGCCGTCTTCCCTTTAGGTTAATCCGGATTTAACAAGACTAACTTCCTTACAGGGGACACAACAAGACAAAGTTGGTGAAATTACACTTAAAGAACAAAACACTGAGATCAAAGTGTGGTGAAAGTATTTCCTCAGGGGAATAAAAACATGTGTTGTACAGAACTACAAAAAATGGAATAAAGATAGGAAATGAAAATAAGGTACAAAGTTCACACAGTGAGATGGATTAACGACTACAACTATTGCATCGTGTTAGATGTGTTTGCATCAGAGTCTCTGAAGTCCACACTTTAGGGAGTATTACCTATATTATGTAATATTACCTAAGAGAAAGTAGGAAACTCTGCTATATTAGCAAAAGATTTAACAGTAAATATGAACTTTATGAACAAGTGCAGACTAGAAACATCATCATAACACATTATTCTGAAATGCAATACATACATTTTAATTTTTAATTTTAATTCTGTCAATTCTGTCACATGGAAAGCCAGAAAGTCCTCACATTTGACATTAGTTAGAACCAATACAATTTTGACACTTCTGTTTAAAAAAAGGACCTCAAATGACAAATCAAGGATCAAAATATAAATTTTCTGTCAATCAACTGGTGAAACAATATGATTTATAATTCCAGCTCTATTATATTTATTTTCAGATAAGCATGTTGCTTGTCAAACATCTAATATTTTCATTGTTTATAGATTCACCCAAAGAGTATGCAGAGGTTGCAATCATGAGGGGACCTTCAGCAAGTCACACAAGTTTAAAAAATGTGTGTCAAAACTTTGAGGGAGTGACAAATATGAAACAAATACAACTTTACAAAGTGCTCAAATTGTCTTTCCACATGTGCATATTCGACTGCGCTCTGTCATTTAATAATTTAATTTTGAATCGGGGTGCAGGATTTAGATTTGGAAACCTGCTGCGTTTTTCTACAGACAGCACAAGGCTGACGACCTGGAAGCTTAAAGGAATAAAAGGTGAGAAGGGCAGAACTCAGAAGGTGGTATACACTGTGACAGAAAACGGTGCCTGTAAGTTATGCTCAAACCATAGCTTGATGCTAAATGATGGGTTTCCTCTCTAAAATGCAGAAGGTCCTGATCTTCTACCTCTGCGCCTCTGAAGTTAAATCCCCTGGAACAGATTGCGTTTTCTGGCAAAAAGAGCAGGGAACAAACATTCCTACTCTTTCTTTTCCTTTCCAAAGGGAGGACAGTTGATAGAGTATATATATATATAGAGAGATGTTTTTGTGACTTTTGTATTCACAGCGGGGTTTAAACATGATAATGATGTACGTTTAAGGTGTTAACCTCCAGAGTGTACTGGTGACACTGTTAGATGAAACTGCTCTTAAACATGACAGCAACTGCACTTCACTTAACTTTTTTTCAATGTTCAGTATATTGATTTTAAGTTTAGAGCTGAAACGATTAATCAGTTAACTCATTAATCACCAACCATTTTCATAATTAATTAATCTTTTTAGTCATTTTTAAGCAAAAATAACAAAAGAAATCTCACTCGTTCTGGCCTCAGATGTGAACATTTCTCTTCTTTATTGTTTTCCATTCAGATTTGTTGTGTTGGATGAAACAAGACATTTGAAGATGTCACCATGGGGTATGGGGAAAATGTGCTAGGTATTTTTCACCATTTACTGACATTTCAAAAATCAAAGGATTAATCAGTTAATCAAAAATAATACTGA